CCCATTTTAAAGTCATTTTCTTAAGACTGCTAGGATAACAGATGACACACATAAATCACTTTTACACTCTTCCTAATCCCTCCAAACTATGCTGAAGCTTGTAGTAAAATCTTTTGCATTCCTGCAGATTCTGGAATGCAGAGAGCAGAAAGGAAATGAGCAACAGGTGAACAGAGAAACTCTGGCAGTCATTCAAGCCACATCCTGAAAGATAAAATTTATTGGTGTAGTAAACATATTACAAGGGGTTAACAATTTTGGAACACTATGCTTGTCTGCCATTTATTAAAGCAATCTATTTTTTTCATGATTAAAAAAATGCTGCTCCTTAAGAGATGCACTGTGAATTGACATACAGAATACATAGAGTTTGGATAGGTAATAGAGAGGTGCTCTACTTGCATGAGTTCTGAAGTAATTTCCTCCTAAATACTGTCATTGTGTGCAGCGTTAAGAACAGTGTATTCCAAATGCTCTAAATTGCCTATTAATTATCTAATGTTGGTCATGTTGCCCCGTCTGATCTAAAACTTTCTCATTTTCATTGCATGCTGAATTAACTAGGTCAGGTGCCGATAGCTGTCTTACTTCTTTTGCAGCAAAGTTATATACACACAAAATCACCTACCTCCCAAGAATCTCATTGCCTTGATAGCACCTGTTTTGGATATGCTGATCTCTTTGTAACTGCCATTAGTTTCCATTATGAAATTTATAAAATATTTTATTTTCTTCTTTGTGCAAGTTTTGCTTGCTTTTTGAAGTCAGCTTTCTTTCCTCTAATAGATACCTTGACATTGTTATCTAGGTTGTAAATCTCTGGCTGGCTGTGAATCACAACTATAGTACATAGCATTTGTGTATCTCTTTGGTTTATTCCATTTCCTGAAATCACAAGTATTAGCTGATACACATATCAATTTAAAAGCAACATAAAGCATTTCAGTGTGTGAATGGGAGATGCAGAAAGCAAAAAATGGGCACGAGTGAAACAAAAAAAGCACAATTTGAAAACCACACGCTTCCCCCACACCCCCAAGTAAAATAACTCATGCAAAACATCACAAGCTCATCAGCTGACAAAAAAGAAATGATAAAAATGCACAAGGCTCCATAAGCTAATAGATCCTTTCTAATTACATCCATATTGCTGGATAATCTGATTAGTTAAACTCCCAAAGTATTAAACAGAGACTGGCTAATCCCTTTTTATACCAGTCTCTGGAGTCAGAAAAGAGCTTAGCATCCAGACATTGTCTATGCAAATAGCCCCACTCATCTCCAACTTAATGAAATCCTCAATTTATGACTACAACTGAGCCCAAATGTTCTATTGCTAAGCAGTTGTTAAAGTGCGTTTTGCACCATTGATGGCCAGTTCTTAAACGAATCGCTGCCATTGTTAAGTAATGTGGCTGTTAAAGTGAATCTGGCTACCTCATTGACTTTGCTTGTCCAGAGGTTGTGAAAGAGGATTGCAAGATCCTGGGACACACTGCAACCATAAATAAGGAGTCAGTTGACAAGCATCTGAATTCTGAACATGTGACCATGGGGATGCTGCAATGGCCGTTAAATGCTAAAAACGGTCATAAGTCACTGCTTTCAATGCCATTGTAACCACTAAACAAATGGGTTGTAAGTTGAGGACTATCTGTATTTTGAGGTTGTGGCTTGCTTTATGCTGCTCTGAATTTATTATTCCTTCTAAAAATGGGTTTAGTGCAGTGTTTTTCAACCACTGTGCCATGGCACACTAGTGTGCCATGACATAGTGTAAGGTGTGCCGTGGGAAAAACACTTTATATATAGTCAATATAGGCACAGTTAAATTTTTTTAACATTTTCTAATGGTGGTGTGCCTCGTGATTTTTTTCATGAAAAAAGTGTGCCTTTGCACAAAAAAGGTTGAAAAACACTGGTTTAGTGATTTTAATAAAAGTCCTCTTCCTTAAAGGTAAAGATAGTTCTACATTCAAATCAATGCTACTTTGCTCCCAAATCACTTTTCAAGAAAAGCATTGTGAACAATGAGAATCAAGAAAATTTGTCATTAATAACACCATTACTTCTCGTATTAAAAATAAACACATACATGAGGATACTAAAAAAAAAAATGTCTCTGAGATTTCTTGAACAGATGACTCTCATGACAAAGACACATCTATCAGCTTAGATTATTTGAGTCTATATACATTTTTAATCTTGTTCCAATACTCCCAAAAATTAACCAAGTAAGATTTGATTATTTGAAGGGGCATCTACCTGGCTACTAGACTAAGGTTACAGAGCTAAACTGAAAATATAGAAAACTTTTTCCATACTTGTTGTCAATCAATTGCATGGACTTACCCATGGAATCACCAGAAATCAAGCAAAAAACTGATTGTATTGCTTAGCAACAACCAAAATTATTATGAGTGAGCAAATGGGGTGAGTACAAATAGCTCTTTGGAACGAAAAACCAAGGAGAAAGTACTTTTTTGTTAGTTCTGGTGACTGCAGAAGTGTCATGTTTTCTACTCTGAAGATGACAAGAATTATGTATTGCTCAAGTTCAGGATGTATGTCCTGGAAGAGAAAGTGAAGGGACTTATGCTTAGGAGGGAAGATGGGAAATTCTTAAATTAGATATAGAAAGTGCTTGCAAAAGGACAGCTGCAAGAAGTTCCCAGAAGATAAAAAGAAAGCCCATGGGACCATCCAAATCCGTATAAATCTTTTAGTATCCCAGAGCCTTCAGAATGGATTTGAATCTCACCAGTGATTAATTTTTTGAATTCCTGGGTGAAAAGCAGCCACAAATCTAAACACCAAGATGACCAAGTGGATGAGTAAAAGCCAGGTTATTTGAAGGACTATTTCCCAGTTTCTGCCTGTCTAGTAAGATTGGGCAGTTAGTGTGCTCCAAGTCCCTTCAATTTAACACCTTCTATCCGACCCAGGAATTTTACCATTTTGGTATCTGCACTCTAGAATGATATCCCCTTAAAGTTCCCCTAATAACGTTCCAGTAGTCCTTAAAAACATGGTTCTTCACCCAGGCCTTGAGGTAGGTGGCCATGGAGCCGTTAGGTGGGGTTTTTAAAAACCCATTATGGGATATTATTGTCTAGACACTTCAGTTTTTTCCTCTATTTTTTATTTTTAAATTAATAGCAGGTAAGTAAATTAGTAATAAAGTAAGCAAGAGTAATTCTGGAGTAGGCAGAGTCCAGAGCAAATTAAACCAAATTTTAAAAATAAAATTGAATTATTTCTGCCTTGACTTTAATGGTAGTGATAATCAGAAGTCCTCTATTGAAAGAAACAGGTGCTAGATTCTCTCTGGTGATCAGTCAAGGAAGAGAAAGGTGTGGCATGCATGAGATAAAAAGCCCATTGATAAATATCCTGCTCTATATGATACAGCCAGCCAAAGCCTTACAGATGGCTATGACAAGGGGTAATAGCAGTAAGGTGACAGAGCTGAGACACAGTTGAGGTTTCCCTGTTTCTTTCTCTTTCCTTCCTTCTTCCATCCATCCATGGACGTGACCCAATAAGAGCAAGAAATGTAGCCATCTGGCTTCATAGACAAGGCCAACAGGAATGGTTTAGATTTTAATAAGAAAACATGATTCCAAGACAGGAGATTCCTGGCAGGGGATAGGCTGCACCTCACAAGGGTTGGGCAGAAGTTATTTAAAAAGTACTTTGCTAACCTGATCCAGTGGATTTTAAACTGAAATGGTACTTGGAATGGAACTGAATGGATGTGTCAGCAACCAATAACAAGGATGCAAATACAAGAAGGACCACACTAAGTCACAAGGCTTTCAAGTGTCTTTATATAAATTCTCAGAATGTGAGGTATGATCATTATGAATAAAAAGCTTAATGCAGGAAAATAAGTAATAACTGTGGTGGCACAGTGACTAGAATCCAATATTGCAGGCTAATTCTGTCAAGAGGTTCGATCCTCACCGGCCCAAGGTTGACTCAGCCTTCCATCCTTCCGAGATGGGTAAAATGACGACCCAGATTATTGGGGACAATATGCAGACTCTGTAAACCGTTTAGAGAGGGCTGTAAAGCACTGTAGAAACAGTATATAAGTATTTAGTGCTATTGCTAGTGCTATTATGACACACAAGTATTATCAGACTACCTATCAATGAAATATGTAGATTGGAAGATATGTAAATTGAAAAGACTCAAACACCTACAGCACCAACATTGATCACAGAATTTAGCTGACTCCCTACAGCTAAAACATAAGGCAAAATCCAATGCCACTCTTTTCAAATATGGATAACCTCATAACACATCATACCTGCTAGTAATTCTACTGATACTTATTTTTTTTCTTTTGACATAACACATAAAAGGGCTCTAAAGCTCCATGAAGGGGTATATAAATCTAAGTGCTAAGAACTAGAATTATACTACCTTTAGATCTGAGAAACTTTCCAAAAAAGGGAAATATGTACACTATATTGCCAAAAGTATATGTCAATAAACAAACAAACAAACTTTTCTCAAAAAAAAAAGGAAAGAAAACATTGGCAATAATTTAGATACCTCTTAAATATCTGGTTGGTCTATTTTAAAATGACAGTAACATAGGCTGACAAAGACAATCATTGCTAAATTAAACTTCAGGGAATAGAAAGCCTTTTCTATTTCATACATCCTACTGAACTTATCTAGGCACTTGTACAAACAATGAGTAATTTGATTTGTTTGTATGTTTTTTTTAAATGAAGCAATTTTTATTTATAAAGCAGAAATGTGAAAGTTAAATTTCATATAAATATAAGTTTAATAAATAAAGTTCATGTGTTGGTTTCTGTAATGAAAGGGAAACTGAATCAAATAATTAACAATCTGAAAGCATTATCTTTTTAAATTGTAAAATTAATCCAATTGTGCATTAAAGCATGCCTATAAATCTGGTTCTTCATTACACTGAACTGCAGGTTAGTAATTCACTCACAAATAAAGCAACATTATTACTATTTCTTGGTTCTTGAATATGTATTCTTTTTACTGAAAAAAATCACTCATAAGTTAACAAATACAAAAATGTACAAACACACAGGTGCATAAATTCAATGATACAATGGATTGCTGAAAATTGTGTTTTAACACTAGATTTCAGTGCAAAAATATACCCCTGGAGCCTCACAGAAAACACAGAGAAGCTCAAAACAACAGAAAGAAAGAAATTACATATGATTCAATTCTATCTTTGACAGTAGATGTTTGGCAATGCACAGTGGTTGCTCAGATGTTAAACTGAATACAAAACAGTTTTTACAAAAAAAACAATAAAGAGGTTTAGCAAATAAAGACCCACATGGCTCATATAAAACATACATTTTTGTAATGATAGTGTTTTATCCCTTAGCAATATTAGCTGACAGTGCTGATGGAAATGGGAAGCACTTTGTTGACATTTCAGCTATTAATGTACACATTTTAAAAAACACCATATCAACACATGCGCTTGACAGTTATGTTTCCAACAATTATATTTACCATACAATAGCTGACTTATCTGATAAGAGCAACAGTGCACATTTAAAAGATATTCCACGCTTTTAAAGGAAGGGCAAGAAAATATTTTTTTTGAGGGGTGGGGGATCAATCCAGAACTAATTAAGAAGTGAAACTGACTCTTTCACACCAATCTTCAACAAGTGCATTTCTTAGCAGAGTTAATTCAGAGGGTTTAGTAGAAGGGTGCACAATCTATTTTTAAAGACAGAGAGGGAGGGGGGAGAGGGAGGGCAACACTGCCAAATAGCTGTTTGGAAATGTCAAGGTGAATTAAGACAGATTGAAACACATTCTCAACCGAAGCACCATTAAATAAAATGTTAATTTCTACTAGCCTTCCAAGTTAAAAAAAATACATATGAATTATTCACAACTGAAAATTATCAAAATGTAGAAGTCTTTATTGCTTCATGTGCCATTAAAAGAATAAAAGGTAAGTTATTCCCTCTGCAGCAACCATAAAGGTACTATTATGAAACATTTTAAAGTCTACTTATCAGCAAATTCAAGAACAGACTTCCTGCCCTTTCATACCAGCCGATAAGATACACACATGCACACTTTCTCTTTCATACACAAGCACTCGTCCCTTCATAACTCTTGATATTCAAGAAAATGGGTTTGGTTAATCACCTCCACAACAGTTATATATGGGGGGGGTCATATATCTACCAAACCCAAAATAAAACAAAATAAAAAAAACCCACAACCCTATACAAGTTAAAGCAACTGAAGGCAACAATGCAATCAAAGAGATTAAAGTACTTTTCACATTAAACTCTGTCTATAAATATATATTAAAGAACAATTTGTTTTACCAGAGTAAATACCCCAGTTTAAAAAAGTCTGTACATGCTATTTAAAGAGATGGACTGGTTTTAAACCAGAAAAACAAAACAAAACAAAGGCACAAACTTATTATGGTAGGTTAAAACAAAAACTAGATAGAGATTATGGACCAACCAATTCTGCCTGATATTCACATATTTTTTAAAGTAATCTCAATGCCCTTCATTCTTTTAATTAAGAGTTGGAGTCTGGATACATTTATCCCAGTACTTGTACTTGTGCAATGTTTTTCTGGTTAATAATCATACCCAAGAACTTCAACCTACAGTTTTAGTCTACATTAGTTCAGTTTCATTTACACAATAAATATATCAAAATATTATTTATACCTCCCCCCCCCCCAAATTAATGATACAGAAATCACTATAGACTTCCAACCAAAGACCGACTGATTTGCAAACTCTACCCAAACCAAAGTGGAAACTTGGTTAACTTTCTGGAGACTTTTTGTCCCTTCCTTACCAAGATAAAACAGGGAGATATTTTCTCTAATGTTTTGCTGTCAGTTTGGAATACGGGGACAAAATGCACAGGGTCACACACACACAAAAACACCCAGAAAGACTATGCAATCCCCAAAATACAATTGGCCTTTGCACTTTCATGAATAAAACTCACTCTCCCAATGCTGGATTCCTCCTTTTCCAATAAAGACTGGTATTGTTTCCAAAATAACCTATCAACTGACAGTCTCAATCTCAATAACTGCTTAAATAGCCCTGAAGAGAATTACTTGCATGTCATCCTGATGTACTGAAGTGCTTGCACAGTTGAGGGCTTACTTGAGTTATGCTAAGTTGTAAACCTTCGGCTTCAGTTTTGAACTGCATTTTTTTAAAAATAAAGGAAAGCAATTTATACAGCTTATCTACATCTATACTTCTTTAAGAAGTGATTGTGTGTATATATAGATATAGATATATATATATAGATAGATATATATATCTTTTTTCCTTTGAGCAAGTCAATTAGAAAACCAATGCAAACACAAATGCAAAAAAATGGTGCCACTGTTAGGTAGCAGTTCATCTCCAATAATGGTCATAGCTTACTGCAGGGGTGTCAAACTGGCGGCCCGCGGGCTGGATGCCTCACGGAGAGGCCACACCCACCCCAGCTCCACAAAGGAAAAAAACATCGCAATATGTCATGTGATGGCAATGTGATGCTGTGAGTTTGACACCCGTTACTTACAGGATAGCTTCCCACACTTTAAGTCAAGAAATCAAGATTTTTCTTTCTTTTCTTTTCTTTTTAAGCCAAACTGGTTTTATGAGCAGGAAAGCACATTCAATTTCTATTTGTTACTGGAAATTGCTTAAGGAAATGGAATGCTGGGACAAAAGCAGCAGGTCACACCATTGTTCTTTTCGAAAAGAAATGAAAAAGCAAGTTAAGTCTGAACTCGCCGACGGTATGAATATGTCTTACAGTCTATTGATCTCTGTGCGTAGTTTTGAAAATTATTCTTCAAAATACTGTGATCCTTCATTCGACACAAGATTATTCTTCTCCAGGAGACATCTATAAAACCATCTCTTGACATTCTCTTCTCATATTCTCTTAGTATTCACTCACCAGAGCCAGCTCTGGTGATAGATTGACAGTTATGTTTTTATACAAAGAATCATATGTAATATTTGGAAAATAGTTCAAATTATTGAGGCCATCCAATTCTTGCCTCTCTTTGGACTTCCTCAACAGTGCATATCTATTGAAAAAGAAAAAGAGAGAAAACATTAAAACCAACGTTGTTCCAACATAGAGCATAAAAGACTACTAATGACTACATTTTGAATATCAATAGTTTCTTAATTTATTAAAAAATATCCTAACCCTAACAGACATCAAAAGTCCATTCATGTTTACTTTAAAAGGTCTGAGGAGTTCTAGGCAGAATACAGTTTCACCAGGATTCCAAAACTTTACATCCTACTCATAGCTTCATTTTGTATTTATATTAGTTTATATACATAGGACATACATATGTATATAAAGTATGAACACAAGTAATTGGATTAACTGAGGAAACTATAAATTAACCATGGACACAATAATTGTTCAGAGCTGGATATCTAAACTAGAATAATGGATTTCTACTGAAATGCTCAGATCCTGATCAATAAATATTGCAAAGAAAATATATGTAAGCAACACCAAAATACAAACCTAATAGACAAAAATGAAAGCATTACACATTACAAACTATAAAAAAACTTTATTTTGAAGTGTCTTTTTGAATTTTCTAAAAATAATTAGGTGTGTTCATGTGTACATAATACATATTGCGTGCGCACACACACATATACAGACACACAGAGCTTTCCCTACTTCTTGTTCCATAACCTGAAGCTACAATATATGGCATAATTTCATACCAACGATCCCTAGCTGAACTCCATTGGGATATAACATGTCACCCCTTCAGCATAAAGGTAAAGGTTTCCCTCGCACATATGTGCTAGTTGTTCCCATGAATATGTGGGAATATGTGAGGGCGGTGTTCATTTCCGTTTCAAAGCTGAAGAGCCAGCGCTGTCCGAAGACATCTCCATAGTCATGTGGCCAGCATGACTAAGTGCCAAAGGTACACGGAACACTGTTACCTTCCCACCAAAGGTGGTCCCTATTTTTTTCTACTTGCATTTTTACAAGCTTTCAAACTTCTATGTTGGCAGTAGCTGGGACAAGTAATGGGAGCTCATTCCGTTATGTGGTGCTAGGGATTCGAACTGCCAACCTTTCTGATCAGCAAGCTCAGTTTAGCTGCTGAGCCACTGTGTCTCTATTTATCTCTACTAGCAAAGCTTAACCAGAAGAACAAAAATGTGTGTATGGCATAAATGTTCATAATCCAATAATTCCTGAAGGTGCAATTTTCTCCATCTCCTTCAGAAAGAGCAATGGGAAATATGTTCCTGGGATAAAAGTCCCTTTAGTGAGTTCTTTATCAATTAAATCATTTAATGCTCTATCACATGCAAATTACAGTCTAAATTTCTCCCTTGGACTGGCTTGCTTTTACTTGTTAGCAGCTGGAACTGAAACAGATAACAGTTTCATAACAGAACAAGGAGAATGGAGAAAAAGAGAGGCAGAGTGAGAATTCAGGCATGCTGTTTTTGAATAAATCAACTAAGCAACTAAAGAGTTGCTTTTGAAAGCAAGTTATGTTCTGACCCAGGCTGCCTTAGAAAGCAAGAAGCAAAGAGTCTTGGTCCCTACAAAACCTCTTATTTACATGACTGTGAATTCCTTTCATTCATAGTCAGCAAGGCTTATTAAACAGTCTTTCAGAAGAATGTTTATCCACAAACACCTTATCTTGTTTGGAGTGCTGCCAGATAACTACCATATTTTTTGGAGTATAAGACGCATCTTTTCCCTCAAAAAAGAGGCTGAAAATCTGGGTGTGTCTTATACACTGAATACAGCATTTTTTGCCTCCTGAAACCCCGCCCCCTTCACCAAAATGGTCGTGTATAGCTTGTAGGAGGCTTTCAAAGAGATCCCGGGGGCTGGGGAGGGTAGAAACATGCAAAAAACAGGGTGTTTTTTGCTCAATTTTGCCCCCCCCCCCAGCACTCTTCTAAAGGCTATCCATGCCCTTTTTTGGACAAGAAACAAGCCAGTTTTTGCAAAAAATAGACCGTTTTTTGCTCCCCCCCCCCGAGCACTCTACAAGCCTCCTAACGGCTATTCATCCCTTTTTTTTGGAAGAAAAAAAATGGGCCCGTTTTTGTGAAAAACGGGCTATTTAGGGGAGGTGTGCAGAGTGCAAAAACTTTTTTTTTTAAATTGCCTCTTCAAAACCTTAGTGCATCTTATACTCTGAAAAATACGTAATTTACAAATACAGGGAGAACTTGGCACAGTCTCTTAAAGTCACACACAGAACTTGCCAATCTTGAATCGACCGAATGAACAAATTGTTTCCTGAAAAAGCCTGTTCATTCCTCTTTTGTTTCTCATGGGAGGGGACAATCACCTCCAAGGTGTGGCTTTACACTTAAGTCGACCCTGCTTTCTTAGTTGTTCTTGTCTTCTGTCAGGTCTGCGCATGTGCACACTGGGAACAGGCTCCAGCTGTTCCTCTGCCTCGCTGCCGTCTAGCTCCTTCTCTGCCTCTGACGCAGAGCCCTCGTCTGAGCTTTCCTCAACCCTCAGGACTGGCTCATGTTCCTCTCCAACCTCCTCACTGTCAGACTCTGCTGGCTGCCAGCAGGCCACAAGAAGTTTTCCCTAAAGATGGTACTCTAGAAACCTTCCTTTAAAACTGTTCAAATGTTTAAGGTTGAAACGAAGTAGTGATTAATGACTTAATGGACCTTAAACAGGCTTTGGTCCAAAGCAATAATTTTTTTAAACTAAATCAGCTCAAGGTATTGAAGCTCTCCTTTCCTTTCCTTTCCTTTCCACACAAGCATCAATGTCCCACAAACACTTGAGGCTAGGGAGAAAACCTGCAAATTATAACTGCTCTAATTCCCAGTTAAACAAATCACTATACAGTAACTTCAACAGCATAGTAAAGGCTAAAAGAAAAAAAACCAGGAAGAAACATTTCAAAAAATGGAATGGTTGACTGGAAAGAAGATCAGAAAGCAGAACACTGTGTACTATAAACTCAGAATACAATTAATTGGAAGTATATACTTCAATATGAAATCAGTATTTTACATTAAAGCAGACCTATAGAAATCTCTGTATGCTTGATACATAAAAAGGCAATTTTAAAAGATAGAGCATTCAGTACCAAGGATCTCATTGCAATTCATTTTCAGGGTTATTACAATTCAGTACTGATCTACATGAGAAATCTTGACATAAAATTTACTATGTGCACAACATTCAACCTTTTGTAAATGAATATAAAGGTAAGGAAGGTAAAGTTATGGCATCATTTTTCAGCCTATTTCAATGGGCAGTAAATAGTGTCTTCCCAATGGTCAAAACTAAAACTCAAGCCAGAACTAGGAAAATATCTGGACTACAGGTACTCCATGTCTTATGACCTTTCATTTAATGATCATTTGAAGTTATGAGAGCGCTAAAAAGAAGGGACATATGACTGGTCCTCACATTTACAACCGTCTCAGTGTCCCCATAGTCACACAATAAAAACTGTATTTGCAACCTTCCCAGGAGCCTTTTGATACGCAAAGGAGGAAGTTGTTTTATTCATGTGATTTGCTTAATGACCATTGCAAAAAAGTTGTAAAATCAGGAGCAAGTCCCAATTTTGATAATAAGTCAAGGACTACATGTTTATCCTTGAAAGTAGGTCACAAAAACATTAGGTTTGCCAACTAAAGAGAAAGGAGATCTTAAAATTTTGCTGAAATCTGTCTGAGAATAATCCATGTTTGTCCTTTTCCAGTAGAAACATCTGAACATTTGGCAAGGCTTTCAATAATTAGGAAATTGCTGGGGACAAATATATCTTGACTGGAAAAACAAGGAGCGCTGAATTAGTTTGTGACATAAGATAATCTGAACTACCATAATTACCTATCCTACAAACACATACTTTTATGCAGAGATAGCAAGTTAGTTCCATCTTAGAATAATCTTAAACTCAAATTGAAATACAGTCGGATGATTAAAAATCATAAAGAAAAGCAACGCAATGACTTGGTATTACAAAATAAAGATCCATAGGAATTTTTAAGATGAAGGACTTAATGGGCTAACCCATTAACTCACCATCTAATTGGTGAATGCAGACAATAGCTTATCTATATTGTTTAACAAATACACTGGAGGTTTTAGACTGTTAAAACTTCACCATATATTGTAAGGTGCAGAGTTTTAGCATTTAGAATGACATCCACTCAAATCTGATGGACCGTAAAATCTGTATATATACAAAATGTATAACAACTTACCTTCCTAAAAACTGAACTTCCCCTCTGTGATGATGGGGAATTGACTTGTATCTCCCTGTATCTCCTTCTGGCCGAGTAACCAAATAGCCTGCATAGTGAACCCTGGGGGAGAAAGGGAGTTATTAAACTTTAAATTGAACTTTGCTTTCAATTTAGTATTTGCCAATCATTTGAGCACAAACATCATATTGACATTATTCATAAACAAGCATTCCAAAATATCTCCTAAATTAGCTTATTTATACACTTTTTCGTTTGAATTAGTTGCGTGGTAGCCTGTTATTATATTCCAGTTAAAAATGGAATAAGCTGTTTATTTATTGATAACTACAAAGTTATGGCATAGCTAGAATAAGTATTGTTGTTATATACTTTTAAAAACAGCTTATCTAATAGAGTAAATTAACTATACCTAGGAAATAATCAGTATTCATGGGTCAACTTAAATTATAAAGGTGGGAAATGTAAACTTTTTTATTTTTTTATTAAACATATGCCGCCTACACCTTTACTAGGCAGCTTACAATCAATAAAAGTAACAATATGAAACATTAAAACAATAAATGGCAACACGAAATTGATTTAAAATTAACAACGATGGGAAGGAAGGCTAACTTTGTATCAGTGATAATGACATGGCTGGGGAGATGGGCACTGTCTATATGTTATCTTGTAAGAGTGGCAGTTAACAAAATAGGGCTGAATAGCATAAAGAGAAAATAGGGAAGACTTCCAGGCAGTTGGTATTGCTAAGATGAGTATATAATGCAAGATGCAACCAAGGATACAAATTTTCTGAAAAAACTTAGTCATTCCTTTTTAATTTTATGTTGCAATTCTTTTTGTTCACACGTCTTGTGAAATTTGAAACTAAATCACAGAGCCCCGTCAATTGGAATTTACATGCAAACCACTCTCTTCATTTGCTGCATGCAACATACCTGTTCCAAAGGTCGTCATCCTCTCCACCCCAGCCCCAGAACGCATTTGCAAAGCCATTGATTTTCTTGAACTGTTTCACTGTCAAGCCACTCACTCCACCAAAAAATTCAGCATATGGAAGGCTAGAGATACATGAAAATAAAAATGTCAGTCAAGTTTAAATGATCACAGCAAATATAGCTGTCTCAATTCTTTTTAGTTACCATAGTATCTGCTTCTAATTAATGTTCTACTTTAGCATTAAACTTACTAGGGAATTATACTTACTTACATATACATGTACTTATCCAACTTTGTAGCAAAATGTCTTGGCATCTGTCCACATCCATAATAGTTACGATCATTCTCAGGTATATGGTCCACATCATGAAAGATCAAACAGTCCCAGTCCAAGTCCTTCATAGCTTCCCGAAAGCCAATATTAAAGAGCATAGCACGATTAAAGGGCTGATTACCTGCCTAGAAGAAAAGCCCAAAAAGACAGCTTGAGTTCCAATACCTGAAGTGGATGAATAGGTAATTTAGTTGCTTCATATCTTACAGTATGCTAAGTTTTCTTTTTCAAAGATTTTTCTTTCAAATTTTGCCTAAGAAAATTTTGTGTCATTAGATTGATATGTGTGACATATGAGCCGAGGTGGCGCAGTGGTTAAATGCAGCACTGCAGGCTACTTCAGCTGACTGCAGTTCGGCTGTTCAAATCTCACCGGCTCAGGGTTGACTCAGCCTTCCATCCTTCCGAGATGGGTAAAATGAGGACCCGGATTGCTGTTGGGGGCAATATGCTCTGTAAACCGCTTAGATAAGTCTAACTGCTATTGCTATTGCTATATCAGCAGATTAAGGCCTGCAGATAGATTTAGGGCTTATACAATCACCCTAATGCGTAACTACAAATACCCAAAAAAGACACACATTGGTGCCAGGATAATTCTTGAAAGATAGGAGTTAAATAGGAGTTAAACCCATGCCTAGAAACTCAGTGATGCCATGCCCATCTAGATATATAGGCTGAATTTGATTAACACTTAAATTTAAATGCAATGCAAAATTTATATATCACTTCTGTCCTGTGATAACCCAACTTAGTCTGTAGAAAGAGCTACAATATCTTTTGATACAAGTATAAGGATCCCACTTCTTAAATGGATCTTACTCAGATGTATTATAGGCAATTGTACACATACACACACATTTTTCTTGAAGAAGTTTGGCAATTCAAATCTGTTTGGGGAACTTTGTACATAGTTGAGGTACATTGAGTCAATTAAAGCTATATGTTTTAGGAAGTACCAGAATGTTGATTTAGATAGCCTTAAGTTTTATCTACAAATCAAAACACACACACACTCTCTTGGAAGTCTTCCATCACTTCAAATTTGAAACAACACTCTGAACATTTGAGATATAATATCATTGAGCAAAAACTCTACAAGTATATCTTTCTTGCAGGGTTTTTGGAGTCCTGGTGATGGAGAGATTAGAATGCAGTATTGCAGGCAAACTGCTCACAGCCTGGAATTCAATCCTGTCGGGCTCAAGGTTGGCCTTCCATCTTCCATTGTTTGTAAAATGAGAACCCAAATTGTTGGGGGCAATATGCTGACATTTGTAAATCACTCAGAGAGTACTGTAAAGCACTTTGGGGCAGTAGACGTTTAAATGGTATTGCTATTATACAACAGATCAGCATTTCTCCACCACTAGAAAGGAATTAGCATAGTTGTGTAAATCCTTAAAAGTTTTATTTTATAAGTTTAAATGAAACAATTCCTTGAAGATGTTTTGTAAAGCAATATGACTTCCTTGCTGAAGCCTCCTCCAGCAGTTCTAGTAACTGGAAGAATATTTTATATTTGCACTCTGCATGGGTAGAAGTTTCTGGCTAGGGGAACAGTCAGCCAAGGCTTCAGGATGACATGAGTTGCCTCATTAAAAGAATTACTTCAGTATTTGATTAGATGAGAAAATGTTATCAAAACAAAATGGTCTTCACAAATCTAGAAATTACCCTTGAAAACAAAAACAATAAACGCAAACTTACTTGCTCAATGACATAAAATGCAAATTGCAAACGCTGGCGTTGCAGCAGTGGAATAAGATGTTTAAAGAGAACCGGCAAATGTTCAAAACGATTGCGGAATGGGATAAGAATAGCCACCTACAAGGAGAGAGATCATGAGTTCTTCTAAGATCTTGCAAGCAACCTAAGCTATCAATTCTTCATAAGCAAAGATGCAAACCTCACATGGCCATTATTTTTGCAAGTAAAATGCTTAAATCCTTAAGAGTGGGAACTGGCTTGCCTAAATGTTCTTTTCCTGCAACATTCTGTTCAAATATGTTGCAATAAAATTCAAATTAATTTATTTTAGCCTAATAAGATTTCAGAGACCCAACGCATGTGTCAACACTTTTGATTTAGGGGTTAAATGGGCTTATCATCTGAGTCCTTGCAAACAAACCTCATCCCCAGCTAATACTAAATATTAGATTATAATTAATAACATTTAAAGCTGTGGCTTCAGGCTTGGTTCTTCAACTTGCATTTCATTAAAATATCATATTGAAACTCCAGTTCTTCAAGTTTTATTTTTAATATTCCTAGGATCAGTTCTTGAAATGAGATTTCCAAAATGGAAAAATAGGTACTGCTAGAAACTCTGCTTTCAACTTGTGTGCAAGACACATTAACAATATTAGCTACCTTAGTAATAAAATGTTTGCAAGCAAACAACTAAGCTCAGAAAGCACTAAGAACTCTACTGTACAAATATTCTCTTCTATTATAACAGCTACCAAAATAGAAAACTCTGAGTTATAATGCCAGCAGCTTATATAAAAACATTTCAAAAGAAAAACATAAGCCCTTTACATTGCACATAACAAACTCAGGATTTGAGATGGTATAGCATTATAATTTTCAACATTCCCTTTCTGTAGCTTACTTTCCAGCGAGGCAAGCAGTCACTAGGTTTCCAGTGGCCTCCTAATTTGATAGTAGGGTCTTGAGAGAAAAACTGGTGGATCTCATCCATACTGATTTCACTCATATTTACATCAATGGGACCCTCTGTGTATATAAATAGCAGAAAATGAGAAGCAGCAAGCAGAGCTCAAAAAATACATTTTGCAATATCTCATCATATTATACATTTTGTTGTTATACTACTGTTATTGCTATCTTGCAATCAATTGCAATTTTCAGAATTAACTCCCCCCTTTACTATTTTAATCAAAGTACTAAGCCAATACATTTACCTAAATTATCAGGAGATACCATACCCTTGCAAATAAAATTTGAAGGGTTACTACCATAGGTTATTGATGGTACAAGAATTAGATGATATGAGAATCAGAAGTCTCTTGCATTCAAGGAGTACTTGGGTATTAGTCTACATGTTGCAATTGTAATAAAGCCTGCTTTTTACAGTAATAAGTCAATGCCATAGTTAAGCAAGGCACATGTGATTGTTTTGCTCAATGAGCAGTGTTTTGCTGGCCTGGCCTTTTCAGGAGCAGTGACTTCAAAGCAGTGGATCTTCAAAGAAACAGATAATATGTCCAGAACTGGCCCAGAGGAAAAAAGCTTGGATCCCAATGTTCAGAGCTTCTTTTCTCTGGACCAGCATGCTGGCTCTCCTCCCTGCCATGTGCTAGAAAGTTAAAAAGTCTCAGGGCAGGGAGAGGAGGCGGTGTGCCACATGGAGAAGGAAAACACTCCAAGCTTCATTTCTCCATGCAGCGCACTGCTGCCCAGAGAAATGAAGTGGCTTTCAACCTTTCTGGATGGTTTCCCTGTTGGCTTTCTGATGAATCCAGCACAGAAGATTGCAAACGATGGTCACATGACTGTGAAGGGCTTGGTAACCTGTCGTAAATGTGATTGCTTTGCCAAGACCCCAGATCATAATCATATGACCATGGAGGAGATGCAACGGCCATAACTTTTGAGTATCAGTCAAAAGTCTCTTAATTTAGAATAGAATAGAATTATTTATTGGCCAAGTGTGATTGGACACAAATTTGCCTTGGGTACATAAGCTCTTAGCTCATGCACTATTTGGCACCATTGTAATTTTTTGTTCAGGTTGCTTTATGTACTGAATACTTCATTTGGAAGAATAACCAAGGACAAGCTTTTACTTTCAGATGCTTAACATATAACAGCATCACACTCTTACTGTAGTGCTGAGTATGAAGAAAAGAAGCACATAAACTCCACATAGAACAAATTTGTATGCTGGATTTGCCAAACTTGCTGGAGAGCAATTGCTACTTATGATGGGTGACTAGGCCTCATTATCCTTCACCGATATAAGCATACTCACCAACCAAGACAGCTTATTCCTAAATTTAGAGCACAGAAACTCAGCAAACACTATTGAATCTTTCAATAGTGAAAGATTCAGAAAACACATGAATCTTTCAAGTATGTGCACTTATAATGCTTCATTGGTTATACCAGCCTTTAGAAACAGTAGACGGAACTCAACATTTTAGGATAATCCTGTTTAAGGTTCAGACATATGTTTCAGGCATTACAGGCAGTACTCACTTAATGATGGTAACTGGGACTGGAATTTTTGTCACTAAACAATGTGGTACATGGAGCAACAACACATAACCGCATTGCTAAACAGTGGAAATTCTAGCACTTTTGATTGTCATTGTTAAGCAAATCCATTGCCATTCTTAACTGCAAAGTCACATGGTTGCCACTTGTGACACCTGCAGGTCTCCCCATTGACTTTGCTTGTAGAAAGCCAACAAAGGAGGTTGCAAATGGTGATCACATGACTGCAGGGACATTAATCATCATAAATAATTGAAGACAGTCCTATGTGTGGTCTACCTGTAATGTGTGGCCTGAACTTTGACGTAAGTTTGAACGGGCATTAACAAACAGACGTTAAGCTTGAACAACTTATATTCTTTTAAGTGTTCCTGTATTACCTTTATGAATATCTAAGAGTCGTCTCCATATGCCAATGGAAGATAATAAAATGTTTTTGATGACAATAAACTATTTTTAAATATGAGAGTAGTTCCAATCTATATATGTTAAATACCCCCATCCCACAGTTGAGAAAATCTGGACATGAATGAACTAAGCAGATTTTATTAATAGATTGTTCATTAATAAACAAAATAAGGTCCGGACAATGTCAAGGCATGAAGGGATGCTTTGCTTAAGGAATATTCAATGGAACATCCTTTTTGAATCTATTTTGCTAAGCAATAGAACCTGCTCCCTTTCTATGAACAAAATAATTATCTTTCTTCACTTGGTGCCAATTCAATGGTTTATCTGGCATTTCAAGAAGTGGCTTCTGTACAGTCTGGAGATGTTAGCTGAAACCTTGATGCAGTATAAAACAATTCAAGGAAATAAGCAGTGGTTTCCTCCATGATATAAACTTAATTCAGCAATCTACTTATACATGGATAATGAATTCTAGGTTGAACAAACTGAATTCAGATTCAATTAAAAATGTAAAATATATGGAGCAACACTGAAATAAATAAGATTTCAGAGAATTTATTTCTGGCTGGAAAAATGACTTTTATATATGTGAGCATATAACTGGAAAAGGAGAAGAGTTATTATGTAAATTGTAATAAAACTTACTCATAGAAGGAAGCCTCTCAGGGCAAATATGATTTGGAAAATAAGTAAAATCTTCAGGAAGAAAAGTTGTTGTTTGCAGAAAGTTTTCACTGTGATTCAAATCAAGAGGATAATCTGATGGAAGAGTGAGAAAACAAGACTGCTATTCAAAAGTATTTCATTATTTACTATTACTAACCAAGTCATTCGGTTTATTTCTTAATATCCTTAGTATTATGCAACATAAACAATCACTTTCATGATTTCATCATTAGGAAATGAAATTTCCTCTCAAAGAAAAGAAAGAAAAGAAATTCCAGAATTAATGCATTAAATGCCTATAAAGTCAGTAAGACACTGATAGTTGCATCAATACATCATTTTGTTTATTTTATTCATTTGAAGAATTCCTAATGTTTATTTTAGGATTTGCCATGTTGTGCTCATATTTTATATGTCAACAGCACCATGAAAGCAACTTTTGGATTTTATTATGTAAAATGGAAAGCAGAAATGGACAGAATTTTGGAAACTTAATTCATCTGACGTATCTTATAGTGGCTATAAAAATATTAGCTAACTTATCTCTTTTGATAAAGAAGCTATTCTCCTTTCAAATCAGATTTTTATTAAGAAAAAAAGTTTTAGTTCATTAATACAGCACCTGCACAATGTATTTAAAGTTTAATCCCTGGTGTTTCCAAATAGGGCTGGAAAAATACTCTAACGTCTTGGATAGGCACTGTATAGTATTCTGACCTAGACAAAATGATCAAACATAATAAAACCGTTTCTTGATGTTTCTGACTGCATGTTTAAAAGAGTCTGTAATGCATCAATAAATAATCTAGTTCTTCCATTAGCTACAGTATACTGTTAACACCTTAATACTGATTTAAGAGGAACAAGTTGAACTTCGGGATCAATAACACATTTTCCCATTTCTAATATCGATTGATTGGATATTTAATCTGGGCCCATTTCAATTTATATGTTACAACCTATTTTTATTTGATTAGTTTATTTCATTTTACAATAGCACATACCAATTTGCAAGCCCCTGTGCAAGTAAAACATAAAAATATAAGTAACAGGTATAAAATCAAAACTAACAGGGATGTTTATCTTTTCAATAACTTCAACCTATCTGCTGCAGACCAAACAAAGCAGAATGGTCTTCACTTGCTTCCAAAACATAAAACTCTCTTAACTTCAGAAGGAAGAGAATTCCAATGATCCAGGAAAACCTAGCACTATGTTGTTTTTTATGACAAATGTGAACAAATTTTCTAGCTAGCTGCAGTTATTTACATAACTGTTTTTAAAATGCCTTATGTGACGTAAAATTCCTGATGTTTCCTAGCACTGAAGATGAATATTTTTTGTTCTAACCTAACATATCAAATCTATGAAGACATGCAGACTAAAGAACAATAAAAAGATTCTAATTGTTTTTTCCAAAATTTAGATTGTCCTTTTTTTCCCAACAAGGTCACAGTGTTAAAGAGTTCAGCTATCAGAATGTGTAATAATTGCAGCAGCATGCTCATATTTCACCGTGAAGGAGGCCAACATGAGACTGAAATTGGACAATAGAAGGCACTCTATTAGTATCTATATTTTAGCAAGGTTATTGTGCTTACATGTTACTATCATATATTCTTATCAATAACAAACCACTAATTCCTTTTTTTTGGTTATCTTAATTGTTACAATAGCTACACTTTGTACAGATCTGAAGAATGCATATTTAGACAATCAGAATTTCAACTCGTGAATTTCCTTGATATAAAACATATTACACCGAATGCTCCTTTTTTAATTTTACCATTTCACTTTTAATGAAACTATTGTGGCTTTCTTATAAATGAGCCTGTTAATTACTTCATGTAACAATATGCTGATTTTCATGAAAAAATTACATGCAAAAATAAAGAAGGTTGTGAATGAGTTCAGAGGCTGCATAGCCTCTCTAAATACAATGAGATGTCCAGAGTAAATATATGAGATATAAATTCAAATCTCCAAATCTTTTTTTCCTTTTTGTGAATTAACTTCTACAGGGCCTTAAATTAATTTCAAAGTTGTCTAAAGTAAAGGTAAAATAATTAAGAACTGCAAAATTCTTTATGTATTGTAAAATTATTAGGGAGGAAAGAATGGAAAATAAAATTATTTTGCTGGTACTATTGTATTATCAGTAGTAAAAGCAGCAAAAATACATAAATTAAGATGCCTTTGCATAGATACCTTAAACTTTTCTTTCATATAGAAACTGTGACTGCGCCCTTAGTTTAAGTTTTTTCATTTTTTAAATTTCCAAAGGAACAAGGGAACTACTGAAGGGGAATTGATTCAAACATGAAAGATACAATTTGAATGGTGTATGTATCCTAGTTACTTTTTATTCCATTTGACAATTCTTTTGCTGCATATCAACTTGTAAAGAGGTTTTTTTCCTAACTAACTCAGGAAAATACTTTAAGCAATGGAGACAATTGAAATTTTCAAAGAAGATTGACTGGGAAATGGGGGGGGGGGGGAAGCTATGCGATTTCAAAGATAGTGTTATATATGTCTACAAAAGCCAGAAACCTTGCATAAAAGAAATTAGAAATGATTTCCTTTTTTCCTGGGTGTAGTTTATTTTATAAGAAAATTGAAAGACGTTATTGTGAGAGGATACCAGGAAAATGAACAGTGCATTTTACTCTGAATAATAATTCAAGCAACACATGTCAACACAAGGGACCGTTTCTGTGAAAACATGCTTACTCATTTTAGGGGGAAATACCATGGAAAGCCATCAGTGCAATACAACATCCCAGCTAACAGCATTTCCAGAATCATGCATACATTATTTTGAAATATAACATTTTATATTTAAAAATGAAGCTAGAGAAGGAAACAAGAGTAGAAAAGTGTTGTTGCAGTACAAATGAGCCTGTAACATATTTAATATCTATGGAGATTCTCAGACATCCAGGTCATGGTTGTCCCAAAAGGGCTTTTTAAAACTTTCGCTGATGCATCATTCTCTCTAGTCAAGCCATTATATTATTTATAGTAGCATTACAGGTATAATCAGATGTTTTTTATATTTTAATATTCAGTTTAATTTTAAAGTCCATGCTTCATGCTAAAATAGTAATTTTTATGTGTTTTATATCTTTCCTGTATACTTCTGTTTTCCAGTTTCCTTCTCTTTTTACATTAGCATTTATGTAATTTTACCCAGATAATTTGGCTATTGGGTGGGTTTGAAATAAAAACTTAAGTGTTCAAATGGTATTGAAAATAAAATTCAAAAATTAAAACAAAACACTCTTTTTAAAAGCCACAACTATTTAAGTATATGATTTTTATGGCTTTCCATATATTTGGATTATGATCTGATTATGATCCACCCATATAGCTAAAGGCTGGAACAAGGTACTATGCATATGTAGAAGTTGGTTGTGCTAAATATAAACATCTACATTTCCAAAGTTGGTTACTACATTACTACAATTTCCTACATTTTGTATCAAGGATTTCATAGTCACGCCATCTAAGCCAGTTGAAAAGCGAGAAACACTAAACAAGCCAGGACTTTTGCTGTTCTTATATTAAATAGCTAAGGAATAATGAAGCCAATGTCAATTTTCAAAGAAATTGTGTCTTTCACTTCAGTTTATCAGCTGCACGTCTTCTAAAGCAATTACCAAAGACATCTCGTTATGTGTCAGGATCCATTTCAGTCAGGATTCAGAACCTAAAGGACAGAAACTGCATGGATTGTGCTTTTGGATGACCACTGGCATGGACAGGATGGGGGTAGTGCATGTGTCCTTGCCCTACAGGACCTCTCAGTGGCTTTCAATACCATTGACGATGATATTCTTCTGGATCGGCTGAGAGGATTGAAATGGGCAGCACGGTGCTGCCTTGATTCATCTTCTTCCTTTGCACTTAGTGATGATTGGGGAGGAGTGCTCCCCCCACTGTGAAGTGGCACAGGATTTGGTGCTTTGTCCTTTCCTTCTTATCGTCTACATGAGACCCCTGTGAAAACTCATTTGTTGCTATGAGGTATCATCAGCATTCTGAGATAGTCAAATATACATCTCCACCTCTAGTAAGATGTGGCTATGAATGTCTTATCCCAGGGGCTGGAAGGTTCTGAAAGAGGAACAACAGGCTTCAGCTGAAACTGGCAAGACTGAGTGCTTTGGATTTGGGGCAGACTAGTTTCATTAAATCCTCTTTGCCGGTGAATGGGGTTACATTGCCCCATTCAGACTCAGTGCACAAACCTGGGATCCTCCTTGAGTCATAATCCCTGTTGGATGAGCTAGTGGCAGTCATGACTATGAAGACTCTGTCTTGTGAATGAATTGCACATGCTCCTGAATTGGCATGCCTTGTTTACAGTCACTCATGCCCTAGTGATTTCCAGATTGGACTATTGCAATGCACTCTGCATTGGATTGACCTTGAAGAGTATCCAGAAGCTTCAACTAATACAAAATGCAGTAAAGCGTGGGCAGTTATATGTACTCCTGGAACAGAGCATGTTATACCTCTGCTCCGTGATCTGTACTGGCTGCCAGTTTGCTTCCAGGTCCAATTCAAGGTGTTGGAATGACCCTTGACAGACTATCTCTCCCAGTTATATCAGCCTGCCCTATTAGATCTAGCAGTGTGGTCATGTTGCAGATCCCACCAGCTGGAGAACTACATTTGAAAGGTCCCAGGAGATGTGCCTTCTCTCCCTAGCTAGCTTATATAACATCATTTCCTCCAAAATTAGATTACCCACTTCCCTTTTATATTCCGAAAAGCCCTAATGACATATGACAGCAATCCTTATTTATCCAATTTCTCACAAAACATACCAGAGTCATTTCCAGTGCTGTTCCTCTTGGCATAGGCACTACGGACCACCTGTTCATAAACTTGCGCTCCTATCGTTTTCATGTTTTCACGAATCATGATACCTTGGGCTTGCATCATGAAGAGGTAGGTGTTCACTGTAAGACAACAAAGATAAGACTAGTTATAGCCTTCTGAAAAAGAGAATAAATTCTGAAGTATTTCAGAAACCGCTCTTTTTACCAATATTTTAGAAAGTTATCATGCAATTTAAATATTTTAAAATAAATATATTTACTTATATTCTAGTAATACAATTCTAGAAATTTATATTCCGAATCATCCCAGAACAAAACAATACTAAGAAACATAGACATTATTTGTTATATTCAGTTTCCATCCTTTCTCCTCTCGTTTATTTAATCTTATAACCTGCACCTGTGGGACAGTTTCAGCTGCGATGCACTAATTAATTTAAATTTACTAAGTGACTTTCCAAACATTTTTTTTTTACCAGCTGCTAGTTTGGATTTATATAAAAAGTACAAGCAAATGTAAAAGCAATCATATCTGAGGAGGATGAGTTAATAGCATGAACGCATTAGTATTAACTTGGTAACATGTACAGTAGTATGCCAAGTTTGAACTCTTTTGAACTTTCAAGAACTTTCACTTAAATTACAAAGAAGCATTGTGATCTTGAAAAATGCACATTTTGAAGTTAGAACTCTATTATTGAAGTTCTAGAAAATGATTGTTGAACATAAAAGAGTCTAAGATGGTAAAAATGTTAACAGAGGGAAATAGAGAAATAAGAACTTAAACAAAATCAAAATACTGAAAAGAGGTCAGAGCATAGAGAAGGAAGACTATAGGAACCTGAACTCAGTTTTTTGGTTCAGTAACATTCTGCAAGTCAAGAGCTTGTTACGCTTGATAATAAAGGCTGACATATGCTGGTATCAGGAAGCTCTAAATCTTAGTATTTATCAGCTTATTTGTACAGATAGAAATAAAGTTGGGCTATTTGAGCTACTGCCCTTATATTCAATTATATTTTCTAAAGTACATAAAACCCAACTCAAAAAAAATATAAACTAAATATCCCAATTCTTACATCAACATTATGTAAACAGTAATTACATTAAGCAAAACAAAAGGACAATTCTATTCAAGAGATCTATGGCTACAGAACAGTATTTTGAGCTTTGACAGGTCAGAAAAAGGTCACTTTAATTATTATAATTAGAAACGCAGAACTATAATCTAATTCACATTACAAACATAGACATTCTTTCTACCTTAAAAAAAAAGTCTTCCAGTATTCTTGACTTTAAAAAAAAAACGAGACTATGAGCAAGCCATCCTTCATAAAAGACTACCTTTCTTACCTTAAATCAATGTCAGATGGATCCCTACTCCTTTCTTAGGACAGCACTTCAATACAGGCTCTGTGGCAATTTAGCTGAGATGTTTCATTTCTTTTCATAAGAGAAACGAGTGTGTTTCTCTTGTGAAAAGAATTGTCTCATAAGACAATTTATACAATAACATTCATTATATAATTTTGTTCCTTGGACAGCAAAGGGGACTAACAAGCAAAAGTACTTTGGCGCATAACACCAAATATGTCACTAGGAGGCAAAATCATGAAACTGAGACCGGCTTACTTTGGCCAAGCCATGGAGGGGAATAAACTGGAGATTACAACAATAACAGGTAGTCATTGCCTTACAACCTTTTATTTAGTGACCATTCATAGTCACAACATCACTGAAAAAAGTGACATGAGTGTTTTTCACACTTATGACCATTGCAGCATCCCCCGTGGTCACGTGATTTACATTCAGATGCTTAATAAGTGACTCACATTTATGAAGGTTGCAGTTTCCTGGGACCTTTTGCAACCTTCTGACAAGCAAAGTCAAGGGGGCAACCAGATCCACTTAACAACTGTGTTACTAATTTAACATCTGCAGTGATTCATTTAACAAATAATGCAAGAAAAGTTGTAAAATGGAAAAAGACTCACTTAACAAAATTCTCACTTAGCAAGATAAATTGTGGGCTCAATTGTGGTCGTTGAGGACTACCTGTATGTTTAGAGAGTTAGCGGTAAAAAAAGGAAACCAGGCCACCGTTAAAGAACATGGTGGCTGGACACCATCAAAGCTGACACCAGCCAGAGCATAGAAAAACTCAAAAAAGTAATGCAAGGTCAGAAGGTGTGGAGAGATGTGGTCCATAGAATTGCCAAGAAACAATTGAATAGATATCATCATCATCACCACCACTTAACTTTGTAATGTATTTATATCTGCTTTCAGTCTTCAATTACTGATTGTTGGGCATTTTTATACATTAAAACTTGGTTTAAACACTTTCTGCAGCTCTAATGTATACGTGATCACTTGAAAAAGCTATAGAAGTATCCAAATTAAAAGGATGCCCTAACTAAATGCTTATGATTATATTCTTTTCTTCCTTCGCAAAAAGGGAATTTCAAAAAGATTTCAAATCCAGGCATTAAGAAGCCTGAAGCCATTAGCAAAACAGCATCTTTATGATCTAACACTCATTCATTTCTAAATTGCGAATTATTTAAAAAGTTACAATTCAATAAAATAAATTTATCACATTGAGACATGATATTCACATCGTAATAATTAAGAGATACGCCATTTCTATTTAACTCAGTGAAACCTAGATGAAACCTGAATTGGAAAACACAAATTTCAGGTACTATGTCTGAACAATTTATGATGGTTTCTTATGCTTTAATTTGATTCAGATACATGCTGAAAGGCTGTTCTTCAAATAACAAGAAATACAACACATTGGTCTAAAAACTATCAAGAACACTATCTGAGCATTATCAAAGACACACACCCCTTGCAAGATTTTGTGATGCTCATAATTTTTTTTAAAAAATCCTTGATTTTGTTACTCATTTTTTAATTCTGAGAAACCTTTTTGCTACCTACTGTCTCCATGGTATCACCAAATGAAATCTGCAAGATTTCAGCAAATGTGGCAAATCTGCACCTGGTCTTTCAGACTGGAGGGCAGCCTGTCTGTTTCCAGTAAACAAAAATATCTGAATAGGTATTAACACTGCTTTCTATGTAATAATCTGTCATATCTAATAATATATAATTTTCAATATTTTGAAATGATTCTAGGTCAAGTTGGAAGTCCTTCTAACATTAAGGAACCTGTAACAGCATACTCATTCTTATAGATATAAACCTTCAGCCATACACAAATACTTACTGTAACTCCATCTGCTCTAAAACCGTAAATATAGAGACAATAAATACCCAACAATAAGGAAGTTTTTTGGCCAAATAATCCTAATCTGCCTGAATGCTCATCTGGTAACAGGCAAAACACCATGGCCACTTATTTTGGATTACTACTATTCAAAGAGGTATTTGGGGCATCTCAAATACATGCGCAGAGTTAATGGATTATTTATTCTTAAAAGGCAAACATCCACTGTCATAAACAGCTTACACAGTTCTTCTCAGCTTCAAAAGCATTTTACCTAGAAGCCATTTAAGAAATGGAAATTTCTTGCACACAAAATTGAGTGAAGTTCTTGTTTATACAATTATGTTTATAGTTGGAGAGAAAAACTAAACATGACTGCTTTGAAGGCTAGCATGGCAAATTGGAGGAAGAGCTTATGGGGAAAAGATAAACACTAACTTCTACCACACTTCTGTAAAGAATGAACTTACACAAAGAAAGCTTCCTTGGTTTTGAATATCTAATTATTTTCCAGAATGTATTAAGAAAAGTCAGGCTGGTGATGTTTAAATATTTATTGTGAATTAGTATTTGATTATTAAATTCGTAACAACTGTAGAAGTTCCAAATTCAGAAACCTTATTCATAAATAATGAAGCAAAACTTCAAGTTGCAGCTCCATACGAAAAGGAAAGTAATAACTCATACAGAGCTTAGCAAAAGTATAAAAAGAATTTTCAGGATGATGGAACAAGTGAGCAGCACTAATTCAAGATTTTATTTAAAAAAGGAGTGACCCCAGATATACCGTATACAATCACTTATATTTTCTTTTGCATCTTACATACTTTGAATACAGTCATCTTGGAGTTTGCTTTTAAAGAGGAAGCCATCATGACCTGAGAGGACTTTGGCTGAAAAAGTCTCACTTACTGTTCTGTCCCCCCTTCACGGCTCTTAACAAATGGCCAGACAAATAGCAGCAATAGCAATAGCAGTTAGACTTATATACCGCTTCATAGGGCTTTCAGCCCTCTCTAAGCGGTTTACAGAGTCAGCATATTGCCCCCAACAACAATCTGGGTCCTCATTTTACCCACCTCGGAAGGATGGAAGGCTGAGTCAACCTTGAGCCCGGTGAGATTTGAACAGCCAAACTGCAGAACTGCAGTCAGCTGAAGTAGCCTGCAGTGCTGCATTTAACCACTGCGCCACCTTGGCTCAATAAACTTAAAAGGAACTTTTCTTTATCAGTTCACAGTTCAAACTGGCTTCGAGCCCAAAAATAACATAAATACAAGTCTCTGACAAGAATGAAAAACAAAAACTCTTACAAGCAATGCACTTCTCCAGTGTAGCCTTGAATCAGGGTTACAAGAAACAGAAAGCACTTATCCAAGTGTATCTTCCATAAATCACGATAATCAAGCAATGTTGTACCAAACAAGGAACACACGAAGGAACGTATGTTGACTCCTGCGACTAGGGCGTGGCAGCATCCTTCCTTTTATCTCCAAACCTGCCTCTACAAGCCCCAGCTGCATAATGAATCTTGTATCCCGAAAAGAGTCACAGCAGACATCTGCTGAGTCACAACACTTACTATCAATACCAGGAGGGATATGGACTCTGGAGGGTGAGAGCTGAAGGGAGACTTTCAGTCACTGGGACTGTGGAGGTTCCTAACTAGTCCAATGAGGGCTGGTTGGCTGAAGGGCTGTGACAGGGTGCATGTTAAATGGGGTCTTTGGTTAACCAGAGGCACCGAGTCCTTTGTATAAGTGCCTCTAGACTTGTGGGGACATTGTGCAAGATGAGTAGCTGGGCATGGGTCAAATTGGGCATGGGAGAGACAAATCTCTGAAGTTGTGGGGATATTTGCGCTAAAACATGCAAGACCTTGTTT